AGATGCGCTGGAGGGGGAGGGGGGTCAGGTCCGGTTACGGTAGGAGTAATTGCGGGGTGCGTACCCATTAGACATGCCACACATGGAGGGGCGGCGACACACCTAGATGCCGGCTCAAGCCGCGCCCGCTACCTGCGTCCAATCCAGCCTCCGGCCGTTTTGATTCTGTCATGAGATCGGGCTTAGTTGTCAGAGAGTGCGGTAGGTGGTTCGCAAGTGTACTACTACAGTAGTCGCCGGCTATTAAGCCCACGGTTAATAAGCCCGCCGCTTATTAAGCCCAATTCGGTCTGGGCCCGAGGTGGGCTTAATAGCCGGCGACTACTGAACTATAGATTAATTCGCACACTACCACGGTCACACAGTAGATATCGCCGAAAAAGACGACCGAACTCTCATTTTATGCACTCTTGTGAGTAGACATTAGACCCTAAAAGGACTCAGCCACCGCGTCAGACTCTGAGAAAGAGATATCAAACAATACCGCATGCGGGAAACAACGAGCAGAGTTGCATGCCGCGTAAGTCACTACTTCGGTCTTGCCAATGCCTCACAAAGTTAGAGGGAAGATGGAGTGAGGCTGACCCTGCACCACGCCTTCCCCATCACACTCAGTATGGCGAATTTTTAAACAATCCTGACAGTGAAAAAAGTCGTGGCTTTGAAGATAGTCAAGTGATGCAAAAGATGCATCGCTTGTAGGTAGAGCCAGCCTTATTGAGATGAAATTCGAGTGAGTGAAAGCTAGGCCTAGGTAGGCTGGGGGAGCAGATAGTGTGTGGGTCGAAGGTTTTGTGCCGAGTCAGTTGGTTAGAGATTGTTGACGCGGCTTTTGCTGCCTTAGATTCGTTAGCTGAATGGACATAGAGCATTCAAAGATCTTAACGAACAAAGAGAGGCTAGTTATTAAAACAGAAAGACTCACTCCTCTGGATCCTTAGAAGTCACCGATAAAGTGAAGGTGTTCTTCTTGCTCACGGAATCACGAACGAGGAAGCAACCCTCACGACTCTCTTCGAGCAGGATGGCCTCGGCTTGTTGTCGCGTAATGTCCTTGTAGTACCAGCTGTAGACAGACAAAACATACAAAGATAAGAGAACGCGTAAGCAGGAGCAGTAGCGACAAACCGTTTCAAACAAAGAAGTGGGGGCAAAAGACGAATACTACAGCAGCCTTTGCATCTCAACCCTATACAGAAACAAAAAAGAAACATATTGAGGGCTTAGAGACCATAAAAAAAGCACTCGGTCTCGACCAGCCCACGGACA